AGCCGGCACTGGGCCCGGCCGGAACTCGCGCCGCTGACGCCTCCCTGAGGGACCTTGTGAGCCGTGAGGGTTTGGCTGTGCTGTTGGCTGTTTCAAGCACCGTGAGGCCCGGCCGGGCCGGCTCGTGAGGGTTTGGCTGTGCCGTTGGCCCACGCCCGGGCTCTGCTCGGGGGAGCCGGTGCTTGAGCCTCCTGCTGAGGCTGCCTGCGCTGAGCTCGGCTCCTCCAGAGGCTTCCTAACTACTGCGTGAATCTTCGCGGTCCTGTTAGTTGGGCCCTTCTGGGGCTCCTCCTGCTACCCTGCAGCTTGTCTCGCTGTGGCTGGCAAAAACAAGTGCTTTTCTGCTTGGGACTACAGAGCTCCCCTTTCACTTCCCCCAAGGTGTTTATTATTCGGTGGTTTGATGTTGTGGGTTGGGTGTTTTTGGGTTTGTTTTTTTTCTTTTTTTTTTCTGATGAGGTTTAGAAGCAGGCTTCAAAGCAGACTTTCAAGCATGAATTAATCTTATTGGCAGGTTTTTTTGTCAACTGCACCTGTTGCCATCAAAAGCCTGTGTAGGAATTTCTGAGAGTCAGAAGGCCTGTGCCTCGTGGTTGCAGGGACACATGGTCTGTGTGGATGTTGAAAGAATTCAAATGCTGTTCAAGCCTGGCAGCATGCCAGAATCTGGTGTGTCTCTTGGGGTTGTTTTTTTTTTCTTACTGAAAACCAAGGTTTGGTGACATTATATTGTACCTTAACAAACACATGTTTTTGACTGTGACTCATACAAATGTGTATGACATTTTTAGTATGTTTTCAGTAGAAAAAGGTCTGCCTGAAAATACAAAAATGTAAAGGGAATTAACTTTTTTGTAGCTTACACTTTATTATCAATTGTGCAGTGAGAAGTTTTCCAACAAAATTGGTTAAATACTTAAAGAATTTGTTTTCTAAAATATGAATATGGGGAAAAAAATTAGAAGTCCTTCTAAAACCATGTTAGTTGTTTGAGTTAATGCTAGTGATAGTTCAGGAAAGCTATTGCATTCAGTCCTAGCAAAACAAGACTACAGGCTAACCAGAATACACTCCTGCAATGAGAATTTGGGCCTGAAAGTGTCTGTAAAATTGGAAAGGATTATTTTTTTTCTCTCCTTTTTTTTTTTTTTTTTTTTCCCCACCCCCACGAGGCAAGCAAAGTATTTTTTTTTCCCTTCAGCTTTTTCAGAAAAGGCAGAAAGGATTTTCTCTTTTACTGAACTGTAGGTGGTATAAACCCAAGACTGGCTTGCAGTAGGATCTTCTAGTTGTACATGAGAATATTTGGTTTATACTATTCTGAATTACAAATACATCTAATTGATGGATTTGCTAATGGTTCAAAAGAGTCAAATTATTAAATGGTTGAAGGCTATTTCTCCAAGTCAGCATAGGGCCGTGGTGTGAGCAGAGGGGAGTTAATGCCAGTAATTCTGTGGTGTCAGAGCACTATCCATGTTGTAGGCACAACAGATGAAGAGACTGTTAACTCTCCCCAAAGGGGAGATATAGGAGAGTGCCTGGAATGTGTGCTACAAAGAGGCAAACACCTATCATACACATACCAATGACCACTGCACACTTGACCAGATCTGTTTGTTTGGGTTTTTTTCTTATAGTTATCTTTTTACATAGTTGACATTAATTAATTTGTATTTCTTGTAAAAGGGGTTAATTTATCTCTTGATTAAAGCCTCAGATACTTTTGGCATAGGATTTGAACATCTCTTTCTATCTCTTAAGAGTCTTTCCAGAAGCCTCTTTCATTCCTAATGTGTTCTACAACATGAATACCCTTCCCAATCAGTCTTTCATGATGCAGTTTTAACATGGGTCAATTTGACATCCCAGATTTGCCATTATTTTACATAAAGATACAAATCAAAGGCACTTGATGTTCTTTGTCTGTGACACTGGTGTTAATCAGCCACACAAGTATCAAGCTAAACTATAAAATAAAATTACCCTTGTGTTCTTTTCACCTTTATCCTATGAGTGTATATTGACTTCAGAGCAATTATTTAGGATTTTCATTAGTACAAAGGAGGGTGAAATTGGAGCTGTGGATTTTAGAGCATATTAAGCCACTTAAATCAATAGGAGTTGGCCTTTGATTTTAATAGAGCTGTGTTTTCATCCAGAAATACTGTGAATAGATGGAGCTTGTAATGCTTGTTTCAAAGTACCTGAAGTCGTTTGAGCTACACATATTAGTTAAAAAGTCTTAGCAACAGCACATCCTCAGCCAAAATACTTAAAAGGCCCAATCTATGAATTTGTTATTTTAGTATCTATTAACCTTAAGAATACTTGATGCAAATGCCCCTTACACAGTCCTTATAATAAGCACCTTTTTTTTTTTTTTTTTTTTTTTTTATTAGGGATTGCAGTACATTTCTTAGGTTATTGAAAGAATAAGCTGACTAGGAAGTAGACGGGCAGAAAGACTCCTTTATACTCTCTGCCAAATAGCATGCTGCTTGCTGTCCTTCTGTTAGTAAGTGTGTTAGTAAGTACTGAGTAGTTGATTGTCAAGCCTGATCTCAAACCACAGTAAATGGATAGTAACATATTCACTCAAAAGAATTAAGTTTGAAATTTTCTGACCCAATAACTTCTGCCATATATGGCTTTCATGGAGCTACTCTTGGCTTACAGTGGTGTCATGAACAGCAGGATTTGGTTCTTTGACTTCACTTACCTATTCTTGTATTGCTAGAGTAGCACTTTATGTATTATTTACACATTCTGTAGCTTTTTGAGGATCTTGTAATAGATAGAAACCAGTCAGGTAGTTTTAAGAAATTCTTGATGTAAGCTGCAAACCATTGAGGATTTAAGAAAAGAAGGGGAAAAGAAAAAAAAAAATGCTCAAGAGTCATGGCACTTGCATCTGTCATCAAGCTATAAATACCATGCTAAGCAGCCTAACACAATGGTATCTTTATTTATGGTAGGTATTCCCACTTAACTACTCTTTTACAAATTAATGGTTATTTTTGTTACAGCCTTAATACATTAACTAACATTTGCAGTGTAAAAAATGTACTCAGCTATAAAGTAGAGGAGAACTATCATCAGTGAGGATGCTTTTTTTGCAAGGCCATTTTCTGCAGGATTTAAGATTTGGTTGTTTCTTTGTCATTTCTTATCCCACTAAACATGCAGACGTAATTGTTATCTGTGAAAAGTCATCTTTGAGAGGACAGATATGTATGCTGCCTCTGTTGCTAGATAATCTTTCTAAAAGCTTCAGAGAGAGATAAGTATGCTGTGTTAAGATGGTTGCAACTATCCAGTCATGTCAACTGGAAGGCAGCTCGGATAGGTACGCAAGTTATTTCAAAGTGATGAAACCCCTCGCATAACAGCTGAGAGCTGGAGTAGGAGCCATGCAGCATGTTTGTCAGCCAGAACATGTTACTCGAGAGAGAGGGCAACAGCAGCCTAGGACAGCATACTGTCAAAAATACTGTTCTTTCTGTTCTAGTTTCAGTTATTAAAAGATTATGTTCTCCTAATTTTTTTTTAAGTGGGCTTCCTTTTTATTTTAAATGGGTTTCCATGGCATAGCTGCTTAGGCTTCCAAATTTGTATAGAAGTTCAATAAGTTTTTCAAGGTCTGATGCAAAAGGGAAAATGGGAAGGAAGGAGGTAAAGTGGTCTTTCATTAGGTTACCATTCTCTTCCTGATGCTCTGTGCTTGCTTACACAAGCTGGTCTTGGTGAGGTGGATCCATTTCCATTAAAGTCTTTAGTGAGAAAGATGGATTTGTACACCAGAGAAGACTATGTATTGTGCAAAACTTATGATCAGTCTGAAAGGTTACTTGGAATAACATGATAAATTCTGTACATCCAAAATTATATATGAACATGCATCTATCTGTCTTGTGTCCAGCAGAAAGACAAGTCTACTAGCAGTGGTAAAACAAGCCAACTTTCCTGAGACACCAACCTATTATTATAAGGTAGCCCACCTTTTTGTTAGAAATATGCTGTATAGCTGAAGTTTTAATTAACAAATAAAAGTTATCTGCATCTTGTTTATTGCATGATTATGAAAACCATTGATAACTTTATTTCTTATTGTTCAGTTCTAACAGTTGTGTTAGCCAACGTTTATATCCAGAGGGTCAGACATGTTTACGGTCAATGTCAGTTTTCATTACAAAGGCTGCTTCTGACTAGAATAGGCTTGTCTAAAATGAATTGGCATTTTGGCCCTAATACTTGATACAAGTGTAAAGCTATGCCCCAGAGAGTACATTACCTCATAACGGCTTTAGAAAATTGATACATTCATTATATTGCTAATAAGATAGCTACACTTTCTTTCCATATTTGCAAGACTTTGTTTATTTAGAAATACAGGGCAAATAACTGATATAAAATGACACTGTTTTGAAGTTGGTGAAGCTGGTGTAGTTATACTTGTTTCATAGGAGGTACATGTATCTGAGAATCGCATACTTTGTGAGTCTTTGTACTGTAGTAGAGAGTTACATATTGTTATGTTGTTTAACTACAGGATACTTGGTGCTTACCTAAAGTAACATCCTCAAAAATGGATCGCTTGTCAAAATGGTATACACAGTATCATCCTCTTCAGGCTTTGGAAGAAAAATGCATGGTTTGTACTGTTCATGCTTACTTCTGTTAAGTAGGAAGCCCCCACTTAGAAAGCTGTCACTTCCTTTTTAAGTCTGAGGGGTAAATACAACCCTCTAAAGCATTTTAATGTAATTCGGTAGTATAAGGGCTTTTCTTCCTGTAACTGGAATACTAGGAAGCTTTTTCAAGGTCATGTGCTGAATGGTTAAGTTCAGCATGGCATCACTGTTTGTTGGAAGGCTTTGTGATATAAGGGAAACTTGGTAAAGTCTCTTAGGGGTAAAAAGTATTTGATTTGTTCATGAACTTTGCCAACATTCTTTATTCTATTAAAAAAAAAAAAGCCATATTACAAAAAGTCCCCAAAACACCAATTATAGACATCTCTTAAGGCTTGTTCTGGCTCTCTCTAGTGAAAATATTTTCATCCCCTTGATATGGTACTTATATTCCCATTAGAAGAGGACTTTTTGTGTTTGGGTTTTTTTTTTTTAGTTGGCTGGGTGTTGGTTGTTTGGGTTTTTTTAGGATCAGTTGTAATGAGATTCAGGAGGTTTGATCAAATAGCATGTGATTTCCTGACAATATGTGCTGGTGATACCATAAATTCATAGAATGTTTTTGTGTGAAGTTGCTTTTTATGTAATCCTTTGTGTAGATAGAATTAATAACAACTTGATGAAATAAAAAGTTCTCTAATGATCCCCCTCCTATTAAAGTATAAAATAAATTACATGCTTGTTTGG